TCCAAGGTTCACGTTTGTAATTTGTATATATCTTTTTAATTTGTAAAGGAGTGTGCTTATTATTTACTAGTTGCATTATTGCATTATTCAAAAACTCAATTTTATTACCTATACATTCTATATCATACACTCTGCGCAAGTGTAAATTCTCTAATTCTAGCTGAAATTGGTTGTTTAAGTCTATAGATGTAAAATTACGAAATTGTACTAACGTTTTATCAGAGGGCCTTTTGTAAGGATATTTCCATAGATGCATATACTATCCAATGTCTACCTATCATTACATCAAAAATACAAGAATGATTAATATCAAAGTTTGTGTACCAATATGAATATAAGCGCGTTAGACTGCTACACCACCGACCCGATAAATATATGTATTTACATAAACAAATTGTATAATGAATAACTATCTCAACTTTTATGAAATATAGGGCGTTTAAAGAAATTAAGTTTAAGTTTTTACCGTAAAGAAAGATATTTAGAAAATTATGTATTTATTAAATTCACTATATCACTCTGTAGAATGAAAACTGTAAAATTATATTTAGCTTTTCTCAATAAATAATAAAGATCTACAAATTTCCTAGTGTATGGTACTTTATTCTGAAACATCCTGTATAAACATAATTTTATTAAATAACAACTAATTACATAAAATCTGCAATAATTAATGCAATATATGTGTTCATATTTATTAATGTTTTTTTACTGGCTATTTGAACTCAATTTTGTCTATATAGGTAAAGTATTACTTATTATTACATGTAAATATGAATAAGCGGTGATTGATTTGATTAATATTAGTTAAAAAAAGTGTGTCATCGTTAGATTCGAACTTGTATAAAGGAAGGAGAAGGTCATGTTAAACACTTGTAGAATTAAATTATTTTATCTTATTTTATAAATGGTAATTTATTAATAAACATATTTTTGTTTTTTGTGAAAATTCTCAGTTTCTATTGTTAGGATTTTACCTGCTGATTTATCAAAAAAAGAAGGTATGAAGTCCAATAAACAATGACCCAATTTTGATTTCTTGTATGTACAGAGTACAGGTATTCAGAGAGAAATAAAATTGTTAGTTTTATTTTTTCCTCAAAAACAGAGTAAGTAAAACAAAAGAAAAATTAAAAGTTGTACTTATAGTTTATAAAAAAAAAATATAAAAATTTCAAAGTCCTACCTGGCGATATTTTTTGTGCCGAAAACTAATCAAAAGTGCCCTGTGAGAACGCCGCTGGAATGGGGCAAGTTCAAAAATTTTGAAATTTTTTTTTATCAATAATAGAGTTCAAAATAAAGCTACATTTAATTTTTGTTTAACTATTCATTTGCCAGAGTTATTAATTTTTTAAAATTTATGACGTCACCGGGAATAGACCAATAGGAACTAGCCACACAACTTTGCCAGTTAGACGGTATACGAAATGTAATATACGTTCGTTTATGTGCACCGTCTTACTTTTAGACTTCTAAAATATCGTTAAACAAATATCTTTTAAATATAAAATATCAAATGTTTTTGAAAGTATTATTTATGTTTAAACTTTCACCATATGTTCTAAAAAACGACAACTAATAAAAAAGAAAATGGAAATGCGGCAGCACTGCATGTGTGATCTGTGAATCAAGAATTTTTGACCAAAAAAAAGGAAAATAAATATGCTTGGAATAACTAGGTAACCTAAAAAATACGTATAAAAATAAGAGAAACAAAAGTAAGGTTATGTTTTGAAGTTTCTATAAGCATTTAACACACTGTACGTACCTATAAAACAGTAGTTGTTATAAAATGCAACAATTATTAAAGGAGTAGCTAAATTAAAACATTAATAGAAACTAACCTATGCTTTTAATCAATATCGTAAAAGCCAGGACGCCAAAGCAACAAAACGTGTACACAAATGAAAATGGACGAACCGATGAACCTGCTCCCACAAACCATTCCCTACACTGAACAATAATACTACACATACGCATGAGTAGAAATGAAAAAAGACCGTACCACTAGTACGTCATCCTCCATCCGCCATCTAAAAATAGTTCCATGTGTATGGGGAATTTGTTATAAATATAACAGGTAATATAATTAAAAAAATATGGATGTAATGTAAATAAATATATCTATAAGCTTTTAATTTAAATAAACCTAAATATATACATATTATTTACTTCTGCCTACTAGTTCATCGTAAACAGGTATTATGCGTTTAAGGTGACTTATATTTAAACATAGAATAATATAGGTATATGAACTAGTATCGACAAACAGAAGCGTTTAATTTATCTGTTAAAAAACGTTAAGTATAAAAATGGTAGATGGTAAACGTTTAAAAAATCAACCAAGACGAAATTTAAACGGGAATTATAAACGAAGAAAACATATTGTAATATAATGTAAATTTATACGAATTTAATTTAAATAAACCTAAACGTATATTTAGGCCCACTGTATATAAATAGTTCATCGCAAACTAAAAATAGTCGTATATTGTTATCTATATTTAAACGTAGAAAAATTTACAATTATATACCATAGGATGTATATAAAAAACGTATAATATATGGTTTAAAACACGGTATGTATAATAATCGTAAACTGTAAACGTATACGGAATCAACCAATACCAAAATTAAACGAGTATTACGTATAAAATACGTTAGTTATTCTTATATGTGCTGCCTGGGTAGATGCATTTTTCATCTCTATTTAATAAACATACACCGGATCTTCAAGATGCAGCAGCAATTTCTGGCATTGCTCCCTTCAGTTAATTTAAAATGAGCCTACTATAAGTTCGAAGGTGTATGTCCTAAAACCTGCCTCGAAACCTTCTGAAAGTTTTAAATATAGTGAAATTTTGTCTGAATCGGAAGAAACATCTTTAATATCTGGTTCAGAGGGATTTAATAATGAGCAGGATCTTCAAAACCAATGAACTCTCAAAATTAAAAATAAACCGAAGGTATATTTAGGATTGCAAAATATTTATGAGAAGAAAAGTGTAGCTTACATAAACTTTTTACATTTCTGTGTAAACTAGTAGTATTTTTAACTTAAAAGAACTTATTTTGTAAGACTAAATACCAAATAATTTAATAAACTGTTTTTTTTTTTTGATAGATTTATGACGTTACAGAGATTATAATAATTGTATATAAACAAAAATGTGAAATCTGTGAAAATTTTATTTATTAACCTACTATTAAAAAATTAAAATACCTGAATATGATAAACCAAGTAAAAAACATTTTATTTAAAAATAATAAAAATATATACACAAGCCCTAACAATAATAGAGATGTCAAATCAAAATGTCCTCTACAGATTCATTATCAAATTCAACTTGTTATCGACTTCATTATTTACTTCAAATGTGGAAGAAACAATGCAAAATAATTTATGTTCATGTGTAATTATTCCGTTTACTGGGCACTGGGCACATATCTCCTTTTCTCAAGTTATTCATGGGAAATCGCATTATCTCCGTATACTTGCTTGGCAGATCTAAAAGTAATAAAATATTTAATATTGTGATGACTTTTTTAGTAATTTTAAGAGTACATTTTTATGAATTCCTATTTTTTTCAATGTTTATTACTTTTCTATGTTCCAAATTATTTCATAAAATATTATCGTAGATTTATTCATGTAAATACTAGACATGTGTATAATAGTTGGCAGAAAGAGTTTGTATATTTACAAAAAGTAGTCATTCATTCACAAAAATGTACTTATATTATAATTATTTACAAGACTTATAACAAGTAGGTAAGTCTCGACCAAATAAAAATAGTATTACAGTAAATACATGTGCACTACCCTTCTAAATAGTTTTAAATGTTATTTAGTTTTAATTTTTGAGGTAGGCAAATTGTATGAACTCGTTTTATACAATAACAAATTTGCTATTTCTCAGGTAATACATAAATGAAGGGTAAAGGTAAAATGTTTATTTTTGAAAAACTGTTACTGTTCGAAAACCCTAATGACCTAAATAAATATGTTTTTACTATAAGGTGTATTGCTCCATTAAACTGTAACTACTATTAAAATAAATTATAAATAACGTCTTACATACCTTTCTGTCTTTTATAAACTGAGTATTGTTAAAAAATGCAGTAATCATCTTCGTAATCATATCTTGGTTTACAATGGGTAAAACACTTGAATCAACTTTTATAAATACAGCTGACAAACTCATATTAATAATAAAATTAAACCAATTAGCAAAGATAGAAGAAATAAATGTAGAATTGAGAAAAAAAGTATACAAAACAAAAAACGAATGTTAGGTCAGGTGGTCTAGGTTGTGTCAATTTTAAATGTCACTTAGATGTGCGTTCACTTCGACATTCTGTGTGTCGGTTTCTTCGTTGGCTTATATCTGTATAAAAAAAAAAAACTTCGACACAAGCTGATTGGTCTATTCTCGATGACGTACACATTTCAAATTTAAAATTTAAATTGGTTTTAATTTAAAAACTTTTGGCTTTTTTAACAAACTGATTGTGTAGAATAACTTGTATATCGACTAACTGTTTCACATATAAACATGGCCCATTACTGAATCAACTGTAATATATCCGAAAGTCACTTAATGAATTGAAAATTTCATTAAAATCACTGTTTTACCGGTATCAAAAAAAACTTAAAAAAAAAACTTTAACACATTGTACGAACACCGAAAAGGACTATCCAAACTTGTCCAACCTGTCCAGATTAAATTTAACATTTCAAAAATGACACTTATAATATATCTTCCAAATTAAAATTTTCACATACAAATACTAGAAGAGAAAAAAGTTTTAAAATATTTAGCTAAATATTTCTCTAAAGAAAACTGGGGGTCAAATAGACATTGACCTCATTGAAAACTTTAAAAAATGAAAATAAGTAAATGCGGGAACTGCTTGCCCATAAGAAAATATTCTAAAAAGATACCTCACGAACAAATTTGTAATTACTACCTCGATCTAAATATTTTTATTTTTAGATATATGTCCAAAACACATTGAACATATACCCGATAAAGAGTCAACAGTGGAAGACCATCTGGAACCAATTCCTCAATTGTTTAATATTCTAGTAGAAGGTAGAGACCCAGTTATGCCCTGGACTACAGAGACTTATGAAAATTATTATACTACATCAATTGGTAATTTTTTTATACTACATCGATCATAAAAAATATTATTAAATCTTATATTTTATTTCTTTTGAAATTGTCAAGACGCTTACATTTTTAGGTGAGTTGGTTTCTACTAACTGTAGCATAATCTGGTGGGACCAATGCACTAGCTTCCAAAAGTGCAAAGATCAGTGTATATCTTTGGGTGCTACTAGTACTAGAATGTTTCACAATGGATGTTGTGAATGTATAGGGGATACCTGTATAAATTATGGTCGCAGTAAAAGTGCGTAAGTATAACTCCTTACTTTGACCTGCCTCTAATTCTTAAAATTTCCATAGCTCTTGACTATCCTGCAATAATTTTCTTATCTATTACACTTGACATATTTATAACTTTTTACTTGTTTATAAATATTGGCTTGTCTATAACTCTTGTTTCTCTTTAACTTAAGAATTTATAAACCCTCAATCAGTCGTAAATGCGGTAATCACTTTTCTCAGCATCTTATTATATTCTAATCCTAGTAATCTTTTAATTACACCAGATACAATTGATAATTCTCATACAATAATTTTTGATTATATATCGGAATATAATTATTGCTAAAGGAACTGAATAATAAAAAAGTGACATCCGATTATGATAATACTCCGAGCTTCCTCATCAAAGATTGCATAAACGTTCTAGCTAAACCATTGGTAGATATTATCTTTAATATAATTCTTATATCTAATTTTATATTTTTTATTATTTTATATAATCTTTTGTCAAAAATAGAGTGAGATATCAGCATTATCAGCAGGTCGGTTTTATGGAAAATAATCTACAGTTACATGTTTAATTTATCTTGCTTTACTTAATTTACTGCAGAAGTTCTCGACTCAGTAGATTAAATATGATTTGAACAGATTTAAAAATATATGAAGTCACTTTAGGTGTACCACGAGCATCCAAATTGGGACCACTATTATTCATCATATTTATTAATAATATTTCATTTATTTTGAATTATTTACATATTTTCTTTGCTGACGACTTAAAACTGTATAGTAAAATTTAAAAATCTGAAAATACTACTAATTACTGCTTGCTTTAGATATCCTCAACAGATTGTATCTATGGACAATTCCCTGCAGTTAAATATTTCCAAATAAAAAAGATTCCATTTCGCGTCAAAATTATTCTTATTTATTCTATCAATAATGATATTCTTAAAATGTATTTAAAGATTTTGATGTTAAATTTTACTTTTAGTGAGCATATTGAAAATATGCCGATACGTCTTCAGCCCTGGGATATTACGTACGTAATTGTTCTGGTGTTGCTTATGTTAAAACGTTTAAATTGTTATACGTTATATTTGTTAAAGGTAAATTGGAATATTTTGGTCTAACTTCATCACCTTCCTATGAAAATTCCATAAAAACTATAGAACGGATTCAAAAACAAATGCCTGAAATACATTTATTTTAAATGGTATGGACATTATCTTACGAAATAAATCAAACACGCATATTTATTTAATGAGTATGATATGGAAATTATAATTGACAGGTTCAACTGTATCTCCCTCTCTTTTTTTTGTATAAATTAGCCAATAACAAAATTATTGTTGGTTTAGTTTAAGTTAATTTAATATATCTATATCTAGAATTGAACCACTTATACTCTTTTTTTATAATTCATTATAAATATGTTATAAATATGTTATAAATATGTTATAAATATGTTATTAATATGTTATAAATATGTTATAAATATGTTATAAATATGTTATAAATATGTTATAAATATGTTATAAATATGTTATAAATATGTTATAAATATGTTATAAATATGTTATAAATATGTTATAAATATGTTATAAATATGTTTTAAATATGTTATGTTATAAATATGTTTAACATGCATATTTGGCAGTGGGAAATACTCGATTTAATATTCGACTTATCGTGTGTCTAAGTAAACGCAATAAGGTTAAACCTTCTAAATTACCGATATAAACTTCTAAAGCTATCATTTATTGAATACTGACGGTATTTGTTGACAACATTTTTTGTCTTGCGCATCCCTGTTTTTATTATTTAATTTTTATTATCAGTAGATAGAAGTATGGGAATTTATTCGTAGTACCTAAGTTGTACAATAATTGACTACTTATCCTGCATTAATTGCTGTATTTTTGGCACAAACTAGTTTAACTCTTAATTTTATATGTTCACCAATGTATCGTTACGAATGTGCTTATAAGTTTAGCCGCTTACCTCGAGAGAATTTATTGACGAGCCAATGGCAACAAGTCCATTTACAAATTATTTTAATTAATTAATCATTAATATTGTAAAAATAATCTTATCAAGTGGTTTTATTATTATGTTCCGGAGATTTTTTTGCAAGCATATTTTTTCTACTCTCTTATTTGGCCGAATAATTTAAGAAACCTATTAGATATTTGTAAACATAAGCAGATATAGGAACACTTTACTGTAACGGTAAGTTCATTTGTTCCTGGTACGCTTCCGGAAACTAACGGAAAGGGCAATGAATAAAATATATTTTAAATATGTTTATGGAGATAATTGTTTATTTTTCTTTAGGTATAAGAATAGTGTTCTTGACTATTTTTTTGTGATACTGATTTTTATTGTAAAACAACAGTGTATTTACATCATTTTCTTGTAATTTCTGTGCATTAAGGATAAGTTATCATATTTGTTTTCGTAATAACTGAGATTCATATCAGGTTAATAATTGTAACTGCCCATTTTGATCGTTGTTTTAACGTCTAAAATTTTATTATTTACCTCTTAAATTTGTTTCACTTTAAATTCTATACTTACTGTATTTGGCCTTTTTCCTCTAGTAGTGTAGTAATCGTCTTATTAATTAATTGATAATTTATATACCCACGTTGTGATAATGTTAAAGAAAATCAGGATTCGATACAAAGTTTGATAAATAAAACCAGACCAATTTATGTTTCAACTCTTTTATTTTTCATATTTTAAATGTGATGCAATAATTAGCAAGATATATTACCACGTTCATTATCAGTCAAGATATATTTTATTTAGCTTAATGATCAACGAAGTCAAAGAACAGCGTCAATTCACCAGTTGGATATCTACTGTGTTTATGTTTATATTCTTATTTAGCTTGATGACCAACGGAGTTAACAAACAGCGTCAAATCGCCAATTGGTTAACTACTGTGTTGATGTTTATATTTTTATTTAGCTTGATTTTACACAGATTGTACCCTCTTAGGTAATTATTTCAATGAGTATAGAGGTGATAACCAACGGAGGTAAAGAACAACGTCAATTCGTCTGTTGGTTACCTTACTGTATTTATTTCACATATACTAAGTATCTAGTAGAATGGGTGGCTTAGTATAAGGTGCCATCCTTGAGCTAATGAACAGTGTCCATTCATCAGTTGGTTCACTGTTAAATTTTACTATCTTGGTTTGTTTAATTGATCCAAGATAATATATCCCTGTATATTTCTAAAATAATGATTTTTATAATTTCTATTGAAATGACTCAAATTCACACGTCGAAAAACAGATGTCTAACCAAACTATCTTTCTGGCTGAATTCCCGAAGACCATGGTACTGGGTACATTGACAATATTTTTAAGCAAATGTCAGGCTCTTATTCAAACGACCCCCGGTTGTATCTCAAAGAAAGTTACATAAATCTTTTGACTCACCATAGAAAATACAGACATTAGAATCGTCTATACTAGATAATATATACTAATTGTATCTAGCGTTGTAACATCGTCCATTTAGGTACGTCTCAGCGTTTAGAGTCACCTTGCATATATACGCCTAGCGTGGAAGGTATTTATTTAGATACTACGTCGGGACAGATATACGCTAGGTGCTAAGTGACAAAGGGTGTCGACAAGGGTACTATGAAGGGAATATTTAGGCAAACGTCGAGAAGTAGAGCGGTAGGACTTTGAAGTTTTCGGGGGATAAGAGGTATTGTAGGATAGACGTCGTGTAGTACAAAGAGCGTTTTAGGAAAGGTACTACTGATGTTGAAATATAATTGAATATAAATAATAAAATTAATGCTTGAATATAAAATAATAAAATGAATTCTATATAAAATCATAATGAATGCTTCTCGAGCTCCTTGGGTTTGGGTCTTTATATCCGTTTTAATGGTTTTTTGTGACCTCAGTTTTTTCGTAGCTTCGGTGGGAACGAATTTTGGTAGAAAAAGGGGTGGCAGATTTATTATTTGCCTTGAGAACTTCTCAGAATTTTGTATTGAAATATTGTCGAAAATCGTTCTTATTATTAAAACTAGAAAGATTAGTGGGTTAAGTGTTTTAGTGATTATAACTTCGTGAAAATAAATATGTTTATGGAGGTGTTTGGATCTGATTCTAATGGGATAACTTTTTATCTTTTCTGTAATATTAGAGACACCGCTGATAGAAATATTACTTTTATTTATTACGCATCATAGATAGGATTTATCTAAAAGATTTTTCATTAAATGTAAGAATTTAAATTTAATAAGAATGCAAATTTTCTTAAATAAAATGAAATTAATAAATTATGAAGGTACCTGGGTGAGGTAGAGGGAGACTGTCCTAAAATGACATACCCAAACTGTTTTAACCAAAAAGTCCAACAAAAAAATTAAATAAATACACATACTTTCGGCATCTGTTTTATTGAAATGTTTAACATTATCTATTAAGTTTTAAGGGTGTACAAAAATTATTTTCTAGAAAAAATACCCTTTTTTACAAAAAAGTCACTTTTGAATAATTATAAAATATGTTGGATAAAATGACATACCCTATCTAAATGTAATTTGTTTTGAATAAACTCAACATAAAAATATTTTTATTTTATTAACAATAGAAAACATACAATGAAAGCCTTTTAGCCTTGAGGTGAAAATACCAAATGACATTTAGACGATTTTGATTGATTTTAATTTTGACAAATGTCACATAAGAACTGCTTGGCTCTTTTGTTTATACCCGCACAATCTATATGATCCCACTTTTTGCATTTTTGACATCTGATCCAATCTTTTATAGATCTTGAAAGGCTATATAGCTCATTGCAATAAATACATGAAGCATCATCTTCTTCCATTTCTTCTATAAAATCCCTTCACTGTCACTTTTTTCATTTACATTCTTTCTTCTTTCTGTCTCAATTTTATTCTCGTACTTCGACTTAATTTCTTCCATTTGTGGAGTGCTCGTTAACTCGCCAGACACCTGTGTTTTTCTCTTGACCTCATCATTTTTTTTATTCGTCTCTGGAAATCGTAGTTTCAATGATTGGGCTTCTTTGGATAGATGGGCCTGCAGTTTCATCATGATTAGTATCTGCCGTGAAGTGAGGATGGACAGTTACCAAACTGGGCATAAACATGTAATCTGGGTTAAATGGGAATATGCCAGAACAAGCTATTGCAGTGGTTGCTGCCTTACCATAGCCTACAGAAAAAATCTTTACTATCTGAAATGGCCCTACCACACGACCAGGATTAGTTTTCATCCGTCGGTCAACTTCTTGGTTGTAGTAGGTGTCTAGTGGGCCAAAAAATGTTACATCTAATGGTTGAATTTCGTGTGTGCAATAGGGAGGAAAACAAATTAAAGTTATGCTTTTCTCCTTTGCATATTTTAGGCCGGATAGTATTTATGGCTGCTGTGACCATCTTACATTAGCAATACTCTAATTTCCAATGAAGCATGAGTACTCTTTGCAAAATTTTTTAGTCAAAGTATGAATAGCTCGCCAGTTATCCACCCATTTTCTTAGCAAAGGCAAAGTAGGAGCATTCCTACAGGAGCATCATCCACAAGTTCTGTCTTATGTTTCTTTCTTGCAAAAATTAATGCAGGGATCCTGCTGCATTCATGCAACATATAACGGTGGTATGGCTACCACGTTCGGTGCTGGTTATACATTCCTCATGTTTTTTGCCTTTAGTGGAAAATATTTTAGGTAGTTTTTAGACTGATGAGAGGCCAGATTCGTCGATATTATATATGTTATAGGGTTCTAAATTATATTTTTTTATGACTTGTTCCAGACGTTGAGAAAGCTAGTCACTTGAGGTCTGTTAAAGGCTTGTGCCCTGGCTGCAGAGGTAGATTCTGGTTTTCTTAAACTAATTTCTGGATGACGCATACAAAATCTCTAAGCCATTCAAAACCAGCCATTTTTTCATCTTTACAAAACAGATGTGGTAAGTTATTTGCTTCGACGAACTCAAAAGCCAGTTTCTTTAGTTTGGTTACAGTATGTCCAAACAACATATGCTCCCGCGACTTAATATGTTCAATCAGTTTATTTTCCATTTCCATTGGAAAAGATGTAGAAAAACGTCCAAGGCCTTTTTTAATACCTTTTGCTTCTTTGTTTTTATTCTGAGCTCACTTTCTTGACGTAGCTTGTGAAACATTAAATTGTTTTGAAGCTGTAAGCCACCCCATATCGCCCCTTTGCACTGCATCGACAGCTGGACCTCACAGAAACGTCACTCCAGGATTGCCGATCGCTCTTCCTTTTGTATTTTCCCACCATTCTGAAATGAAGAGAAATTTCACAATATTATACCTAGGTACAAATTACTGGGATAAAATGACATACCTATGTCGTTTTATAATGAATGGGGGTTATATCATTTTAAACGACAAACACATTAATAAGAAATTAGTCAATTTAAAAATATAGGTACATTTTATTGAAAAACTGCACACTAAAATAATAATTATATTCACTGTGGAACGGCACTTTTAAATAGTTCAACCGAAAAACGTTATTTCTTAAAGTTTTAAACACATATTATTATAGTTCGTTTAAAAATCAGAAAACACACAAATCATTACTTAAGCCGCAAATAAGCGAATTCGTTGATGACATTTTATGAGTTACTTGCAAGTTACTCTAATGTTCCATAGATGGTGTCAACAGTCCTTGAAAGTTCGTTGGGAAATTTAAAAGCCGCCTATGTCATTTTAGGACAGTCTCCCTACATAATTATGATTTATTTTTTAATATACCTTTGTTTTTTAAAAACGACATTGATCTGATTTCTTCAAAAACAGTTATGCAAATAACAAACGCCTAAGACAGTCCTAACCATAATTTAAGACCAATATTATTGTAATACTGTCAATATAAACACCAGCTAAAAGGGTGTAAGCACCTTTCAATATTAAAGAATAGGCGTAAGAAACAACATAATAAACAATCAAAATTGCTTAAAGCACATCCAGGATTAAGCATTTGATCTTAAGAATGTAATCACTGAAAGAAAAGTTTAAGCGGCTTTTTGTCTTTTATGCCTTCTTCTCAGAACACCATCGATATATTAATACCGTTGTAATGAACTTAAATATCAATAATTCATTATTTTTGGCACATTTTAATACAGTTTTTTATACCCTTTCTTATATTTATATTGTTTTTTTTTTTGCTTTTTAAATAATATTCTTTCCTATTTGGTGATGCTGTTGAAGATAAATGCATTATTTAAAATTACTGCCTATACTTAACATGTCTATAACTTGTCTTTCCTACGAACAGAGACAGCATTAATGTGCATTATTATTCCTAGGTTAGATACTTTTTAAATATAACACACTTTTATTTCTTCCAGATGTAAACATTGTCCTTTTACCGGACAGAGTGACGAATATCCTTTGAGTCCAGATGAAAACGATTTTGACTTAGATTATGGAGAAGATTCGGACTTCGATGAAACTCAGTAGCATGGAGAAAAATAGACAACAATTTCACAAAATAATTTATTAATAATAATTTTGTTATATATACATAGATGTAATAAACCTGGACATGTTTTCATTATTGGGCTCAATGTTACAATAGCAATTTGTATATTAATAAATTTAATTAAATAATAATATATTGAATTGGAAAATAGTCAATTTAGTGTAATAGAAGTTTTTTCTTTTTCATCAGCTTTCAAAATATGTAAGGTTCGAACTTCTAATCTTCGTCAAACACCGTTAAATTTGCGAAAAAATATATTAGAAAACAAAAATTATTTTCAAATTGTGGCATTTAATATTTTGAACTTTATATTAAATAAAATTACCTTAATATATCATTGTAAACCTCTTGTGGTGTCTTTAGGATAGTAAAACCCTCAAGTGTAAAATATTCAATTTCAATGAAAAACCTTTTTTTTTATATTGGATTTAGCTTTGGATAAAAGAGTATTCTTAAACATTAAAATGGTCCCCATAACACATACCATTAAAATTAAATTGTGTTAAACTAGGGTCTACATGTCTTACTGAACTGTCATTTACCTATGATGTCTCTTAAGTGGACAGAGGTAAATGGGCCCTTTAGTTCATTAAAGAATAAGTACCAAGGACATGGTCCAATGATTTGGCGTTGTGTTTACAAAAACAATTGGACACTTAGTCAAATAAAAAAGGACTCCTTATTAATTTTTAATACGACTTTTTGACAAGTTACATTCTTCTTAACTAATAAGGTTTACCTACCTAAACTGCTACTATCTTCATATATACGTGAAATATACCTAAGAAGGATCTATGTATATTTAATTTAAATCTATGGTTTAATCTAAGTTCTATACAAAAAGTGCTATAATACAAACATTATGTGGGTTTATTACATACTTGATCGGATAGGTGTTGAGTAATAATTTTATTTTATTTAGTGTAAGTACCTATCGATTTATTACGTTTAAATATAAAAATACAAATACTTTTCAAAAAGTTTTCAATAGACAAAATACTACATTAAATATAATAAACAAATTGCTATTGTTTAAATAAAAACATGTCATTTTATTATTGAAATTGTAATTGACATTTTCCTAGTTAATGGAACTTATATTATACTTAGTGTTTTTGTTCAAATCTAGAGTAAAAAATTAATACATACATAAGTATTATAATGATTACCTTCTCGAAAAAATCTTTATATAATTTCTTAATTTAATTCGTTAGTAACTCTAACATGTACCTTTTATTCTTGTCAGGGGTGGCACGTTTATTTAAAAGAATTATGATTTAATAAAATATATTTATTATTCGAATTATTTAGTAAATACATTTTTAAATGCGCTACCCCTGATTATTGTATTAGTTCTGTTATTTACAAATTATTAATATATTTTAATATTGTAATACCAAAACTGGAAATACTAATTTAAATTTAGTGTAATTTACAAGAGAAAAATGGTGAAAATATTAATAAAATTGTAATTTTAATTATTAATGTGCTTAATGGTTATCTTTTAGAAAATTTATTGATAGTCAACAAATTATCAAGGGAGTATTATGCCGGTTAATTTATAGTAAGATGAATATTTAAGGGTAATATACCAAGACCTTGATAGTCAGCTATTTTTGTTTTAATATCAATTTGATGAGACATAATTTTAGGCATTAATAATCTGATAAGAGCCCGAGAGCTTCAGCTCGAGTGCTTTAATTAACTGATTATTAATGCCAAAATTATGTAGAATCAAATTGTAAAATATTCGAGAAATTTAGCAATAATAAAAATAGCAGAATATTAATCAAGGTCGTGTTATATTTGGAACGACTATTTCTCTAGATATATATATATAAAATTTACTCAAATTAAATATTTTCTTCTTTGTTCTATTTTAACAGCAATAATAATTATTATTGTTCTTTACATTAATGGACCGGAAGATGGTGCCTCATATATAACCTAATAAGTTAAAAAAAAAATTTAATTGTCTGACTTAATTTTTGGTTTTCATCTCAAACCTGGGGCATTCGGGAACTATAAACTGTCAAATTTTAAAGAGGTCCAATATTTACGTAAAAAAGTATAACTATGAAGACGATAAGGAGGCGAATCGGCATGCTCAAAATAAGGTCACAAAAATTACACGTCAATTGAAATTTTATAATTAACGGCATGGGCGCTGGTACGGTTTACGTAGTTCAAAATACATGGCTTCTTATGGGAATTATACATAATTTTGTCAAAAAAATAAAAATAAACTTGTTTATAGCTAAATAAAGCACAGAACATACTGTTGTATTTATTTCTAAATAAGTCTTACATATTTTAATTGATACATTATTTACTATTTATTCCTATTTAAGTAAAATGCAAATTATTGATGATGAAATTTAATGGGTAGGGCTAATTATTTTTTAATTAAAGCTAAATAAGCCTGAGGGCATACGGTTTAAATGAAAATATTTAGTCGGGTATTTTACAAAATTTTATGAAAATAATAAAAATCAAATTGTTTATTGCTAACTAAAGTACAGAAAATACTGTTGGTATTAATTATAAATGAGTCTTTATGTTAAACATTATTTACTATTCATTATTTAATTTTATCTCAATAAAATGAAAATTAGGTATGACCAAATTTGAAAAGGTTTGTTAAATGGTGAAATTTGGTAAGAACAGTTTTGGGGTAATTTTGTATTCGACAACTACAATTTCATCATCCTGGTGAATAGTTTCTTCAGCAATAGGTTCTAGTATTTTCTTCCTTTTTTTTATTCTAACAAATTCAGTTCGGTTCAATGGTGGTTTCGTCTTTTTCTAATACTGGACAAGTATGAAGCGAGATTCGGGAATATACATGGTATTGCTTCGTTCCTTAATCTCGGCCTTTCCTTTTTTATTTTGTTAACAGTCCCATTAGTTAAAATAGTCTCTTTAAATTTTAAAATATCATCTTCTAAAAAGTGTAGTTCTCATAACTAGACAGTAAGTACTTTATCAGCCCTAGGAATCACATGCTGACATAGTTCTAAACGTTCAGGATCCTATAAAAAATATTTGCAATGACTAAATTGGAGTTCAATAAAGAAAAATAACAGTAGTAACTCTTGATCTAACATCAAAAAATATAAAAGAAGCAAATTTTCTTTTCTAGTAAGTTAAATTTAATGTGTAAATATTGTTGTTTGTAAGTCAGGATTTCTGACTTTATTATTTTTTATTATAGAATTTTGTAATTAAATAAACTACACTCCGTAAGATACGGGTTGTGACTATTTTACAATAAATATATATTATTAAGAAATAAATACATTTATTTTACTTACACTAGGAGCTTTAAAAAGACTTGGATTTTTATCTCCTTGTATTTTCTTTAATTTTATACCGGATTTATATCCCGTTTTTCAACCCGCAACGAAGCAAATCCTGCTTTGCCGTTTTTTTGTTACTCATTGTTACTTGTAGTCAGGTTCTTTATTTTAGCTTATTTTTATTCTTTTCACTAAATTTTACAAAAATCACTTTAATTCCCATTGACTTGCATAGAAAATAGACGTCGTTATTTTGCCACCCGCCAACTACAGTAGTTTTTTGGAACTCCATAAAAATAGGGACGGAAATTTGAAATTTGACCAAGGCCGATTCGCCTACTTATCTCTAGTCTTCATAAGTATAACAAAAATCACCGGATATTGTACGAAATAGGACACCTCGTCAAAAACAGTATGTTAGGACAAAATATAATGGATATTTCTGACAGTAACCCATTTGAAAAAAAGACAGAAATTTACGTCATAAGATTTAAGGATTACTATTACATAATTAACAAAGAGAGCGGCGTCCAGCTGCACAGCGAACTTTGAAAAACACAGTTGTCAAATTTAAAAAATAAAATTCCCTATTGTAATTTATTATTAACCGACTGCCCTTTAAATGAATAAGAATACATCCAAAAAAAAAAACAATATTGTTAAAATAAAAGCACAAGTGACCAATTCGTTTATCTAGATATAAACCCTTTGCGCGATGAGTACCACTTGATTTATATCCACAAAAGTCGTTAACAATTGAAGCCCTTAGGGCCGATTCCACCGTTGTGTTAAACGGAAATTAAAATGACATTGTTAATGTAAAAATGTCATTTTAAACTTCGTTTAACACAACGATGGAATCGGTCCTTAGTGTAAAAAGGATGCAAGCCACAATTTGTCGTGAAGTGACTGTTTTAGCTCAAAACATCTGTTAACAAGGATATTACTAGCCACATACAAATTATTTTACCACTAATCCAAAAGATGTGCTGTTTTTCGTAATATTCATATTTAAATAATTTTTTTATTTATATTTGACAGAATTAAAACATTTAAAACTCAATTTCTCAAAACTTACTTAATGTGGCATGTAATCAACCTTATTACGCCACGGTCTTCAATTATTTCAATATTAAAAATATTTTTTAATCCGGGCCCGACTTTTCCGTCGAACCTAACAAAGATAGCACCATTCCGTCTTGCTTGGTTCTCGACCGCCAAATCAAAGGCGCCGACACGGAGTTGTGGAGCTGTATTGTATAAGCTGTGCTGTTACTTTATTGGCTGATAGTTAATTTTTATTCATTGTTTACCTAACCGAAATTTTATTCCATAAATGATACAGGAGAGTATTTGATTTTACGCAGCGTTTTCGTTTATGTTTTATTGGTGTTTTTTTTTTTTAATAACAATACTTTTATTAAAATAGAATATCTTCTAACATATAAGCCGCCGTGTATATTTTGAAGCTTAGAGGTACACATATTTTAATATTACATTTCCCATAAATAAATTATTTATTTTATTTTTGTATTTATAATCACTTTTTACAAGTAGGCTTGTGTCAAATAATATCATTTATTTTATGTACATTATTTTAAGTGTACGTTTCTAATGGTATGAAAAAAAGTATTTTTAGTAAGCAACATGGAAAGTTGCCAATTACAGTTAAACATAAA